ATTTTTCTTTAATAGGAACAGGATGAATTGTTTTTTCAAAGTTGAACAGGAACGGATATAATTTTTTTAACTCGTTGACACGTTGATTTAATTAATTTTCAGCAGAGCAAAAAAAATGTGTGTGTTTCTTTAGACAACAGGAAGCACACTCTTTTTGTTGATAAATTCCGTTTTTCGGATGTTAAATTTCCAAATAACCTCTCCTGATTGGTTAAATTTATGGATTTGGAATTTGTGTCTTAGTTTTTTCAATGTAGCCAACTTTGACATTTGAAATGTCTCTAATTCAATTTGTCAAATTATTATTTAAATTTTTAAAATTATTTATAATTATGCGTGATATTTCGTAATTTTGATGCTCTTTTAAATCAATTTTCAAATATCCATTCATTTTCTTCTGATCTCAACGATAAATTTTCCAATATGTTCAAATTAATTTTGTAAATTTTCATCCAAATTTCATTATTCCATACAAATATTAATTATTTTCTTTGTTAACCAAGTTAAGTTTATCGTTCTAAATAGGTTTGATCCGGGTAGATAAAGATTTAAATAAATAATTTTGAAAAATTTAAATTGAGGTTATCTGGTATCGAATCTTTAAAATTACTTCGCATCGACTTTACAAGTGATAGTTTAGGATTAGAACATTAAAGAACAATAAAATGTACCGAAATTCACTAGCATATAGTATCTAACATTATTTTATAATTGTTTAAAAAAAACTGTTCTACGATCAATACGATAATCAAACAAGACTAAACTACTGGTAAACGGTTATTATTACAATACATTCTTGGAGTCGTGCCTGAAAGTTTTGCATAACTATGTAAAAAAGAAGTCGCACGCGGTTAGGTCGGGAGACCGAAGGGGCCAACTGATATCCACGTTTCAAAGCATTTACAGCATTCATTGAAATTCTTGCCGTGTGACTTGTTGCCCCGTCTTGTTGAAAAAGTGTATGTTAATTCACTGGAAAGCCTTCAAGTTGTGGTGTGAGAAAATTCAGAATCATTGCAACGTGTCGTACAGAATTAACGGTAACGGCATTTTCAGCATCATTCTCAAAAAAATGTGGACCGATGATTCCATTTGACGAAATCTCACCATTTTGAAAATAGGCTTTAATTGCGTAACCACAATGCTCACCTGTCCAATGCTCCATTGTAAACTAAATGGCAAATCATGCAGGTCTTGGCAAGTCGGCTACTTTCTTCCCCATCACTTCTCGCCGCGCTTTAAACCTACCTCAAATCTTTCCTTTTCACTGCCGGACCCTGTATTTACAATTTTCCCTTTTCTAATATAATACAATATAATATATACCTCCAGATCCACTACCCTCCTCCCCCCTTTCCATACCTTCGCCTCCTATTAATAAAAATGTATAATGATTTTTACGTTATCACTGAAATGGTATTGTTACGGGGGATGGATTGCGCCGAAGAAGAAACAACAGTTGTTGAATAAAACGAAATAATTTATTTACAAAATNCGGCGCAATCCATCCCCCGTAACAATATCATTGACAACATACACAACTAGAATCAAAACTCTCGATGCATGTACTATCGGAATATGTTGTATTACTACATGGGAACAGAGAAGGCAGAGTAAGCCCCCACACGATCACTTTGCCGAGTATAGCCGAGCAATTGGAGAGTGGATTAGCGCTCTCATTTTCTCTCGAATTTGTGCTCTGTCCGTAAGGACGCGAAATTCTTACAATTAGTTAAGCGCTCTGTCGCTGTTTCAACCCTTCTTAATGGGAGAAGAATACATTTACAACCTTCAAAAAACTTTTTTTTTATAAGAAAGTTCTTAAACATCTTAAGAATGTGGTACTAAAATATTAAAGCGAAATTCCAAGTATTTTCAAAGTAATATCTGCTTTTCTTGAAGCACATTCTTCGCTAATTTTTGAAAATAAGGTACAAGGAACCAAAAATGAATGTATTGGACATATTGAAAAGAGAATGGGCTCTGAAACATAAGAAAAACACAAGTTTGGAAGGAAAAAAAATTAACTGATGCTCTAATAAGAAAACTGACTACATATTATGACCTGGCTATTCGCAGAAATATAGCCAGTACAAAGACTATGAATAAAGCGATAACGGCCACTTATTAACACATGCTCTACAGATGAACATCAAAATTATCAGTATTGTTCACTAGGAGCTGAGAGCAATGAAGAGTACTCTTTTTGAGTAATCACTTATTGCTGGTGATAGAGGGTTAATCTGCATCCCTTCTGATTCATATTATAAATCATTTGGGGTTTCAGTTGCGATGTCATTACGAAAATTTTTTACTAAGCAAACCCCACTTATTTTTCAGTGTTCTACCTATCCTAGCAACGGACCAAGTTTGCATTATAATAAGCGTTTTATTGTTTTTTATACAGGTTCCGGCAGTGAAACGGAAAAATTTCGTAAATAATTTTATTGTTAATTATTTTTTTTAATAATTTTTAATACATTAATGGAAAATAAGAGAGTAGCCATTTGGTTTACAATGGCAAAAAAAAATATTTTTTGAATACTACAACCGGCAAATGTCTTCCGTTACAATTTATACTGTAATGTTTTTCCAAATGGACCGCAAATAGTCCCTCTTCTTTTGAAAAGAATTATTTTAATGAAAACAACATTACTAAATTTTATAATAATTTGTTTTTTTATTAAATTGAAAAAAATTTAAATATTTAAACAGAATTGTCGAATTATCTCAGGGTTAAATGCAGGTTCTGGTAATACTGTCAAGACAAACATGTGCACAACTTAAGGTGCAATCAAATTGAGATGTTGTCGACAAAATTAACAAAATATACTGATTATATAAACAAATATTCTAAATTAGTTGATTCGAAGTAATATTTATCAACTCAGATATGTATAACAACTCGTCAAATATTAAATTAATTAGGAAATTGTAATAGTAATCTCAAAATTTATATTGAATTTATCAAGAACTTCTCTTATTGAAGGTAAGAAGAGTTTTTTTCTTTAAAAAATGTATCAACAAAAACAATAAATTATAAAAAAAAATAACTTAGCCAATTTGTTTCTATGGGAACTTTGGAGGTCAAACTCAGAATAATATTTTCTTCGTGACAGGTGATGGTTGGATTCAGGATTGAGAACCAATTTTTCTCTTCACTAGTGATGATGGTTTCTACCAGAAACGGAACCAATTGCTTTACTTGATCAGGAGCGAATTTAATCGTTTCTTCGAAATTATTGAACAGGAACGGATATTTTTCTTTAATAGGAACAGGATGAATTGTTTTTTCAAAGTTGAACAGGAACGGATATAGTTTTTTTAACTCGTTGACACGTTGATTTAATTAATTTTCAGCAGAGCAAAAAAAATGTGTGTGTTTCTTTAGACAACAGGAAGCACACTCTTTTTGTTGATAAATTCCGTTTTTCGGATGTTAAATTTCCAAATAACCTCTCCTGATTGGTTAAATTTATGGATTTGGAATTTGTGTCTTAGTTTTTTCAATGTAGCCAACTTTGACATTTGAAATGTCTCTAATTCAATTTGTCAAATTATTATTTAAATTTTTAAAATTATTTATAATTATGCGTGATATTTCGTAATTTTGATGCTCTTTTAAATCAATTTTCAAATATCCATTCATTTTCTTCTGATCTCAACGATAAATTTTCCAATATGTTCAAATTAATTTTGTAAATTTTCATCCAAATTTCATTATTCCATACAAATATTAATTATTTTCTTTGTTAACCAAGTTAAGTTTATCGTTCTAAATAGGTTTGATCCGGGTAGATAAAGATTTAAATAAATAATTTTGAAAAATTTAAATTGAGGTTATCTGGTATCGAATCTTTAAAATTACTTCGCATCGACTTTACAAGTGATAGTTTAGGATTAGAACATTAAAGAACAATAAAATGTACCGAAATTCACTAGCGTATAGTATCTAACATTATTTTATAATTGTTTAAAAAAAACTGTTCTACGATCAATACGATAATCAAACAAGACTAAACTACTGGTAAACGGTTATTATTACAATACATTCTTGGAGTCGTGCCTGAAAGTTTTGCATAACTATGTAAAAAAGAAGTCGCACGCGGTTAGGTCGGGAGACCGAAGGGGCCAACTGATATCCACGTTTCACAGCATTTACAGCATTCATTGAAATTCTTGCCGTGTGGCTTGTTGCCCCGTCTTGTTGAAAAAGTGTATGTTCATTCACTGGAAAGCCTTCAAGTTGTGGTGTGAGAAAATTCTGAATCATTGCAACGTGTCGTACAGAATTAACGGTAACGGCATTTTCAGCATCATTCTCAAAAAAATGTGGACCGATGATTCCATTTGACGAAATCTCACCATTTTGAAAATAGGCTTTAATTGCGTAACCACAATGCTCACCTGTCCAACGCTCCATTGTAAACTAAATGGCAAATCATGCAGGTCTTGGCAAGTCGGCTACTTTCTTCCCCATCACTTCTCGCCGCGCTTTAAACCCTACCTCAAATCTTTCCTTTTCACTGCCGGACCCTGTATTTACAATTTTCCCTTTTCTAATATAATACAATATAATATATAGCTCCAGATCCACTACCCTCCTCCCCCCTTTCCATACCTTCGCCTCCTATTAATAAAAATATATAATGATTTTTACGTTATCACTGAAATGGTATATAAAGACACTGACATTGCAATACAGAAAAGCTTCAATGGTTTTAATTTTGCATATTTACAAAAAATAACACTATTAATACTTCAAAATATAAGGNTGGTGACAGTATATAAAGACACTGACATTGCAATACAGAAAAGCTTCAATGGTTTTAATTATGCATATTTACAAAAAATAACAATATTAATACTTCAAAATATAAGGATTGTGCTGGTCAATCTTTAATTAAGTAGATGATAGATTTGATTGCACCATCTGTATAAAAAAGGATCAAGAAGAATTTGATTTTCTCATTTATAAATTTAATAAAATACTTTATAGATACATCACAAAAAAATTACACTTTGTAATTAAATAAATAACTATGTTTTTTAGTTATTTGTTTGAAAACCAATCTGTTGTCATTGCACCAAAAAGAGCCGCTGCTGAACGCATAGTATTCGCTGTATCCAATGATTTCTTTGTTGACTTTACCTTTGGTGAAATCTAAAATGCATTTATTTAGTGAGTAATAAGTCAAAAAATTAATGTTTAAATATTAGGTAAACAGGCCAGAATACACTGTAAGAATTGATTCTGTTTGGCCAACCAGATTATTGTTATAGCAGGTAAGGGTTTTTTTAGCAAGATGAGACAAACCTATTGTTAATAACATCACAAAACTTTGTTAATACACACTCGTAAAGATAATCGACAAGATCGACTTAAATTTGTCTTTAAGATAATATCTTTTACTAACATTCTATTAATCAATAGAGAAATTTGTAAACAATTACATGTATTTTACAGAAGTTGGTTATTAAAAATTAAAACAAATTAGTGAAAATCGCTGTCGATTATGTTTTTTTTAAATAATTGATTAAATTTTAGTTAACACTCCAAAAACCTTTGCATACATATTTTAAGATTTGTGATTATATTCTTTTTTAAATAACTGATTAGATTTTAGTTAACACCCCAAAAACCTTTACATACATATTTTAAGATTTGTGATGCTGTATTTGTTACAAAATGAACATTTTCTAAAAATGCACAAGTTTATAAATTCAAAATGAATTCTTTTGGTAAATAGATTTTATATAACTTTACTATACCTTTTGATCTTTCGATTGTAAAGAAACGGCGGTGGCAGTTTTTTGTATGGGGGCAGTAACTGGTAACAATGGAAACCAAGAGTTTGAAGATGGAATGCTAATTGGTAGAATGGATGGGTCTTTTTCGTGTTCTTTATTCTTTTCCATCATCCCCAAATTGGCTAATTGATTATTATTTGGTAATAAACATCCTAATATCACCTAAAAACATAATTGTTATATTTTTAATTTAATTTATTTATTTGTAGAGAATGATTAAAACTGACAGCTTTTAAAATGGTTTAATAATATTAAAACAATATAATTAAAGTAAAAAAAAATTCAAGTGAAACATTAATATGGCTTACAGCCTGTCAACTACCGTAAATTAAGTGCAACAAAACAATGTTTGATTTTAATAAAATTATTTTAGGTGAAATAATGAACAGTCACTGTACAATGCTTAGATTCAGGCTAAAAATACGGAAACAACGTGGGGAAATAGAATAACAAACCGATAAAGAAGAACTAACAAAAGTGACGGAATAAATAAATGTCAAACAGCAAAAAAAAGAGGACTGATTGTGGATTAATATGCCACAAGAGTAAGCTCAAACCGTCAGAGTTGATAAGGAAAGTCAAAACTTTAAAATAGTAAAATAAATCTACTATTCGTGCAAAATGTCAAGGCCCCTCACTTTAGAGATCGATACCTTTGCAACCGCTCGATAAAAAAAATTGCGACAAAGTTTATTGTAATCACTGAACATTTCTACGTATGTTAACATATGTTAATTTGAAAATTTTCGGATCCGCGGTTTTCTTTTTATTGCGAAATTGGACGGAACGCTCCTCTCCCCGTATAGCTTATTTCTGTTTCTCTTTAATTTGTAATTCCATTAAATCGCTCCTAGAAAATTAGGGAACCCTAATTTTGAAAAACTGATAACTGAATCCGACAAACCGACATTGTTTGACATATTTTCGTAAAAACTGCGTTGAAATCCGCCAGGTCGTTTTCGAAATAACCGCATCGTATTAAACCGCGATTTTCCGCGAAACTATATGGAATATCAAAAAAATAAAATATGCCCCACATTAAGAACACATCGGTTTACATTTCAAATTTGAAATGTTTTCGTCAAATAGTTTTGGAGAAAAAAAATCGCAAAGTAGGCAAAGTTGCTGGCACTCTCAAAAATCGGGTACTTTTTTCACTTAACTCGCGATATAAGAAAAACCGCGGACCCGAAAATTTCCAAATTAACATGTGATACGCAGAAATGTTCACTGATTTCAATAAACTTTACCGCAATTTTTTCCATCGAGCGGTTACGAAGATATCGATCTCTAAAGTGAGGGGCCTTGACTTTTTGCACGGATAGTAGTGAATGATAATATCAAAATTAATGTTCCTAATAGTGATGACTGTAGAGAACCAATAAAGCTACTTCATAGCTAAGGGCGGTCTTGGCCTCATATCAAAACGAACATAATAGGTTGTTAATAAAAACTGCACCAATAATATTGAGAAAAGTACAATAAATTATTGAAGATCTTCGGAAGAGACGATTTAAAACGCTGGATAATGCCAGTATTAAACTAAAATGGAAAATCTTCAATATAACCAATATTTTTTTTATTTATTATTTACATTTGTTTATAACGTATATTATATTTATAAACGCTGTCAGATATGGTCCCATACAAGACTATTGTGCTAAAGAGCCAAGATGCGTTAAGCGTACTGTAAAACATCTCACAACAGACTGTAAGCCACAAATTGTGTTAACTACAGTCAAAATCATCCAGATTGTTACAACGAATGTATTGTAGCTCAAGAGAATATAGAAAATAAGAATAAATGTTACGAAGCAAAGGATCTATTTACCTATAAAACCAACAAGAAACAATAAACAGGTAAACCAAACCCAAAAATGAAAAAACATTTAAGACAACAGCCAAATAGTAATCCGAACGAGGAAAAGATTGCTCAGCCAAAATATGCCAATAGAACAAATCTTACAATTAATTTTAATGCATCTATATAAACAAAGCCAAATATTCAAAAACCTTGATGAGCGTTTAAATAGACTTGAAAATAGCAATAAAAGATTCGACGTCTATTTGAGAAGGTTTCGACTGAGGGAGACGAACGGGATGTGTGTGTGATGAATGAGGATATCCTACAGCATATCTTGCAGCAGTGTCCGGATGGGAGAAGAGTGCAGAACAGAGAGGAGTTCAAGAGGAAGAAAGGGAAGGTTGAATGGGATTATGGATGATAGCGATATAGATGATTGGCGGCAGTTGTTTTGGTTATCCAGGGTAGCAGTACTAGTTGTTGGTAGGCGGAGGCGGCCCCTGCCTACCAACAACCTTGGAACAAGGCCCCCCACCTTGGAGATGGTTGGGTTGGGTTGGAAAAATATTTAAAAAAAACATGTTGAAACAAACTAACATTTTCGTATAACCTAAGTGTCAAAAAAGATGCTAATTTAAAAATTCCTGGAAGCCAGATTTATTGATATTAAGGAATGAGACTTACTCTATATTAAAGCTCAAAGCTTTCTCTTTAAAATGATGTATAATAATTGTTGGGTTGGATTGGAAAAATATAGAGAAAAAAAAATGTTGAAACAAAACTTACATTTTCGAATAACCTAAAAGTGTCAAAAAAGATGCTAATTTAAAAATTCCTGGAAGCCGTATTTATTGAAATTAAGGAATGAAACTTATTTTAAATTAAAGCTCAAAGCTTTTTCTTTAAAATGATGTATAATAATATAGTAGAAAGTACCGACAGCTCTAAATGTGCCGAATAGATAACTACAGTTTAAAATCACCGGTACTTTAAAGTACCGTCGGGACACAAAGGGTTAATCCCTTGCGACCTGTAAATAACCTTTTAAAGTATTTGATAAACAAATAAATAATTACATAAATTTTATTTTAAATTAATATTAACGATTTTTCGCTGCTTAACTTTTCCTAAATTTGACAAAGTTTGACATATAACCTCCATTACTAACCTAACATATATTTAAATTCAAGGTTTATAGAACATAAGGTTACCTCATTCCCTATGCCTCTGTAGTATCGATTATTACCCCGCAAATTGACGTCACTGGTTCGATACAGTCAGAATAAAAGATAGCCTATACGTGCCTATACTGTGGTACAGTCTATATAAAATATTTAAACCTCGCATCGTGTTGTGTTGTTCATAGAACCAGCTACGTCACTGACCCACCTTGCCTCTCAGAGGAGGAGAATCGGTATTGGGTAACCTTATGTTCTATAGACCTTGATTTAAATGTATATATGTGGTGAAATAATCTAAGTCGTACGTCCATATCTTAATTCATACTATTTTTAAACGTGAATAAATACGAATTATAATCGAGCAGGCAAGGGGCAGATTCGTCGAAATGACGAGGTTTTTATGTTGTCTATTTAAACCTTGTAATGTAACGAGACTAGAGGCATTTGAGATGTGGATATATCGAAGGATGCTAAAAACCTCATGGACGGAAAAGATAACCAATGTAGAAGTGATAAGACGGATGAGATAAGAGAAGGGGGTAATTGAGACAATTAAATGAAAAGTATCAAGTAATCCAAATTAATATGCAAGGAAGAATCAGAGGAAAGAGATCCATAGGGAGAAGACAAAACTCATGGTTAAAGAACCTGAGGGAAGATATGGCCACAGAATAAGCAGAAATGACACTGATGTCGATTCGTTTGATATTAGCGGCATCTCGTTTCGTGTCCTCGATTTAAAATCCACCATCTTATCGCGAGTTACCAAAGGCACATAATACACTGGAGATATTTCGCCAAATCTTTACTACCAATAGCAGCATACCTTGGCAACTCGCTATAATATGGCGTCAGATTTGGCAGGATGCCGCCATTGTCACTTCTGGTTATTCTATGGTATGGCTGCAATAATAAGCAGTTATTTAGATTTGTGGTCTCAAAAGTGAAAATCGCCTTAATGCTTAATGACCTTTGAAAATATGTTCTTCAATAAATAAATCTTGGATTTAATTTTTTCAGCCATTGTTTGAATCATCCTGTTCATATTTATACAACACTATCATAAATAATGGAAATTTTAAAATCATTTTTGTTTATGACATTGTTTTGATAATTGTAGATAGATTTGTATTATTTAAAATATAAATTATTATATTTTTAATGCATATTTTACCTGTGATTGTAATGTACATCGTTTAACATTATTCTGCAAATACCCATAAAACACATCCAAATCAAATGGATCAACATTTTCCCGTAATTTATCACAAACTTCCTGCGATTTTTGAACCAGCTTCATATTTTCCCGTGGTACGCAAAAAACAGTTAAAAACTTAACATCAAACAAAAATTGTAAAGCTTGTTTTTGCGTTAAATCTCCAGCAACAATTTTTTCATACTGTCCCAATAAAACTTGAACGTTTCGTTCCAAAAAATTTAAATGTACCTGTTTTGGTAACGTATGCGGTAAAATACGGCTTAAACAATCACATAAATAATTTAAACTTTCTTGTAATGCTAAACTCAATTGATAAGGAACTTTTATGTGCGACTTGAAAGTTTTTTCTTCCGTCTCTTCTTGTATTTCTATTGTGTCCCATTTTTGGAAAATGTTTAAAGTTTGTATTACGTCCAAATTTTCGTATAGTTTATGTGAATACTTTTCGACATTTATTGTTATATCATCAACCCAATTCGTCCAAAACGTAACGTTTGTGTTTGTTAAATATTCTGTTATCTTTTCCCATTCTTCTGCTGGATTATAACAAATGCAACGTTTAAAATTTGGACATAAAACTATTAATGCCTCAATAAATCTTGCGCAAACTAAAGATTTTAAAACAAAGTTTGAATTTTTAGACTTGTTTATGTGGTTTATTAAGAATTCAGTCAATTTTTTGGTATTATTTAAACATTCCTGAGTAAGATGAATTTCTAATTTACTTTTATCTGCAAATTTTCGATCTGCTTTAGACGATTTTAACGAAAAATTTAAAGTAAATAACGAATTATTGTATTCTTTTCCAAATAAATAAAGCGATAAATCCTTTAAAATATCCAAATACTTTAAATCGGCTTTTTCACATAATTTAATTATGTTTGGCGAATATCCACTTGTTTTCATAGATAAACCGGTATGAACGTTTTCTATTTTACTGATATCATCTGCATCCTCATTCCAAGTATACCACGTCAAATCATCTTCGTTCTTTTCAGTTAAATTTACATCATCCAAAACGTTAACGATTTCTTTTTGTAGAAAATCTAAATTTTCAGATACTTTTAAACCTATTAAATTTAAACCGCGTTTCGTAATTAAGTCTTGAAAGAAATAGTACCAAACATTAAAATTCGTTGGTAAATTTATTTCTGAACAAATCGATTCCCAATCATCACGAATAGCTAAAAATAATATGTTGATTAATATTAGTTATTTTACAGAAAGAAAGAAAGAATAGAGAATCTCTAAGCTCTGATTTAAAATTATTATAAACTTTGGTAATTTATAATTTTAGCATGATACAATCTTACCTCGTTTCAGATTAGCCTCAAGTGTGGGAAGAAACGCCAAAGATTGAGATACTCACATTTCAAATTTGTTGAAATAAAATAGTTGGTTTCAAAGCATGATGAATGAAGGACTTTGAGATCTTTAAAATACCGCTGCAAGTCGAGGGTATCGTAACAATATTTTATGCATATTCCTATAACTTTTTCATTTCGTTGTGTAAGGTATTGTGTAATAAACATCACTAAATTCTAAACCTGTGTAAAATCAACATCAGACGACCCGGCTGTTCTTATTTTAAATAACTCCTTACAAGTATACTCCTTACAAGCCATTACGTTTTGCCGAAAATATTTTATAACATTATTGTCGTTACCACCACACTCGAGCCATAACTTGCACCCTTTAGATAAAGGTTTTTTTGCTCCTTTAAAAGCCGCATTTTCATCAGAATGCGATAAATGGATGGTAACCAACCCAGTAAAACCCATCACTATTAGACAGATGGCAGCCTTATTCCATTCACATATTCTAAAGTTGCCAATATTCAAATATGTGAAAAATCTTTTAAGACGACTGGGTTTTATTTCCATACAACCCAGATACTTTTAACGATGTAGATTTGATGTTTGCTAGTCAACAAGATTTCGATAGTATTTCGATGCTTTGCCACTATCTCATTTTTTACTTAAAAGACAAGACACAATAATATCTGAACTATCAATAAGCAATCACGATCACCAGACACAAATTCAAGAACAGCAAATATCAACAATTCAGAAAGAATAAATCACCATCGAAAACAGGCAACCAGGACCAGGGCCATTAATGACACCTACAAAGACTCATTGCCAGACACAACAGAAAGAACTAATCACATCAAAAAACACTCGATCATATCCGTCGACAAGCAAACGCTCAGACATTCAGCTCAAAATTCAGAAAAAAGAAACAACACTTAAAAAGTCATTCTCAACACCAAACAAAAGTCTTCTGACGATACCAGCAAATACANTACAATCTTACCTCGTTTCAGATTAGTCTCAAGTGTGGAAAGAAACGTCGAAGATTAAGATGCTAAGAACTCAAATTTGTTGGAATAAAATAGTTGGTTTCACAGCATTATGAATGACGGACTTTGAGATCTTTAAAATACCGCTGCAAGTCGAGGATATCCTGCAGAAGTTTAGAACAGTCATTCAGGGAAGAGGTATGAAGAAAAAGTTTGTCATCTGCGTACATTAAACATTGAGCATACTTATCAACAAAAAATATATCATTAATAGAACACCAGATAGGACAGGAATCAGATCGCAATAATATCCGATTAATATCCGATAATATACAATCTGGGTTTTTCCGCAAACATAGGAAACTATCCAACGCAACAAACTACCATTAATTTGAAATTTAGCAACTTTAGCCAAAAGAAGCCCATGATCAACCCGATCGAAAGCTTTCCTAAAGTCTGTGTAAATAGCATCAACTTGATATATTTGATAAAGTGAACTCAAAATATAGTCCATATGTAACAAGAAATTGCTCTAAACCGATCGCCCAGAATAAAATCCGTGGTCTAGGGTGAATCTAATTCTTAACATCAAAAAATAATTGTTTGTAGACAAGCTTCTCAAAGATTTTGCTAACAAGGGAAGTGTCGGAACTGTCCCTCACCGATTTTGTTGCAATTTGGTACAGCGATAGTAGGGGAGGTGCGCCTAAGAGTACGCATACGAGAATTTTCCATCAAGTAACACTTGAATAGGTTGCTCTGACAGGTTTTGTATTTGAGGTTACGTTATCCACTAATTTTGTTCTTTAAAGCGTTGGTAACAGTAAGTAACAATATTTTACGGATATTCTTATAACTTTTTCATTTCGTTGTGTAAGGTATTGTGTAATAAACATCACTAAATTCTAAACCTATGTAAAATCAACATCAGACGACCCGGCTATTCTTATTTTAGATAACCATATTTCCCACTACTCCTTACAAGCCATCACGTTTTGCCGAAAACATTTTATAACGTTATTGTCGTTACCACCACACTCGAGCCATAACTTGCAACCTTTAGATAAAGGTTTTTTTGCTCCTTTAAAGCCGCATTTTCATCAGAATGCGATAAATGGATGGTAACCAACCCAGCAAAACCCATCACTATTAGACAGATGGCAGCCTTATTCCATTCGGCATATTCTAAAGTTGCCAATATTCAAATATGCGAAAAATCTTTTAAGATGACTGGGTTTTATTTCCATACAACTCAGATACTTTTAACGATGTAGATTTGATGTTTGACAATCAACAAGATTTCGATAGTGAAGATGCTTTGCCACTATCTCATTTTTTACTTAAAAGACAAGATATAATAATATCTGAACTATCAATAAGCTATCACGATCATCAGACACAAATTCAAAAACAGCAAATATCAACAATTCAGAAAGAACAAACCACCATCGAAAACAGTCAACCAGGACCAGGGCCATTAATGACACCTACAAAGACTCATTGCCAGACACAACAGAAAGAACTAATCACATCAAAAAACACTCGATCATATCCGTCGACAAGCAAACGCTCAGACATTCAGCTCAAAATTCAGAAAAAAGAAACAACACTTAAAAAGTCATTCTCAACACCAAACAAAAGTCTTCTGACGATACCAGCAAATACATTCTACGGGAGTGACACAATTTCAATCACACCGAAATGATAATACCTCTTCCAGAAGCAAAACATGTTCAAACTCGAAGAATCAAATCAAAAAAATCCGAAATTTTATCTTCTACTCCTTACAAAGATGCGCTGTTACAAAATTTGAAACGAGGTGATTCAACCAAGAGGAAAATTTTACAAGAAATTAAAGAAGTTCTTATTCTGAATCAGGAACTTGCTTGCAATGTTATAAATTGCATTATGGTGCTGCTGCGCATAATTATCAAGGACAAAAAGTTTTTTTTGTGCGACTCGTATGAAAATTAATACACTTTTCATTTGTATTATTTTTTAACAGAATATTGTGTTTTATTTAGTTCACCGTTTTTATGTGTACTCTTAGGTGCACAAGTGCGTACTCTTAAGGTGGGTTCATGCAAAGTGTTTTAGTTTTAATCATAGTCATAAGCGTTTGCTTTAGCTGTAGTTGTAAGGAAAGGGATTGGTTCATGCAATATTTAAGCACAGCAAATTAAGAGCAAATTTGAGCTCTATTAATCGCACAAGGATTAAGAAATAAAAGACGACGGCGTTTTGGCAGAAGACCAATCAATAAAAATAGAGAATTAGAGGGATATTATGCCACTCTGATTAGAAACATGTTGGAAAAACAGGAAAACGATTTGCAATTTTTTAAATATGTTCGCATGTCGTTCGAAGAGTTTAAGGAATTCTTAAGACTGGTTGAACCTTTTGTAGCAAAAATACCTAATAAAGGTGCAATTTCACCGGCTCAAAAGTTGATAGTATCCCTACAGTAAGTTTTTGTTTAATTTTATATTATAAAAAAAATTAAAATATGTAATAAAATTATTGTAGTTATTTGTCAGAAGGAAGTTCTATGCAAGAACTAGCTTGGAATTTTCGAATGGGAAAATCCACTGTACATTATATAATTAAAGAGACAACAACTGTTCAGTGGGACGTACTACAGCCCAGAGTGTTACCAGAGCTAACAAGAGACATATTATCCTTTGTTGAAGATACATTCTACAAACGATGAAACATGCCCAACTGTATCGGGGCTGTTGAGTTCTTCAATTATAAACATACCTTCAGCATTGTTTTAATGGTATGTGTAGATGCGGATTATAATTTCATTATAGCAGGTATTGGAGCTAGTGGAAGAAATGATGACAGCACTATCTTTAAAGAATCTTCTTTCGGGAGAGCTTTTTTAAATGAAAACATAGATATCCATTTTCCAAAGAAATTGCCTAGAAGCAACATTATACTTCTACATTTTGTTGTGGGTGATGCTGCGTTTCCTCTAAGGGAAAATATAATGAGACTATATCCCGGACAGCACTTAGGACTAGAAAAAAACATTTTCAACTATCGTTTATCCAGGGCAAGGAGGACCGTTGAAAATGTCTTTGGTATACTCTGCCAGTGGTGGCGAATTCTACGGAGGCTAATCATAGCTAGGGTAGACATAGTAGAAAATATTGTAAAAGCCATAGTAGTTTTACATCACGTCCTCCAGAATATGGTGATACTATTCAGTCAGAGTCAGAGGAAATTATAAATGGTCAGTGCGACCAATGTCACTGCAAAATATAGGACGGGTTGGAAGCAACAATGCGGTAAGAAGGTTCCAGAAGAACAGAGACTTGTTGTGTGAATATTTTAACGGTATTGTATTCAAAACAAGAGATAAATAAAAATAACTCTATTAATTTTGAGTCAATTTGGTCCGCATTTGACTGCATTGAAATAATTGTCCAAGCAATAACGCACAACAACCTTTATACAATAAAATAGAAAACCTAACTGATCTAACCTCAATTTATAAAATAAAACAAAACACTGCTATATTACAAGGACACAAAAGAGAAAAGTGCGCATGCGTCACGTTACAACCGATTGTTTTAGCTTTAAGAAGTTAAAAGTTGGGCAACTCTTGGGACTAGGACAAAAACCATTTTAGTCGTAAGGTGTTGCATGAACAGTACTAGTATAACACAATACCTTAACTTTCCACTCTTACGACTATGCCAACAACTACGACTAAAACACGTTGCATGAACCCACCTTTAGGGAAATGTGTTTCTAAGAGTACGGACGCTCGCTTTTTTATAACACTCTCTGTACATTCCTATGATTACAACAATTCTTTTTCCTTTGACCATTTGTTAGTTTGTAGGCATGGGTGCGTACAGACATGTTCACGGG